AATAACTGCTGGTCCCAGAAACCCTTCCCCCCCCCCCCAGAGATTTTTGCTATAGGGCATGAGCTCACCAGAGAGACAGACAGAGAGGGAGAAAGTGAGGTGAGAAATCACCGTTCATGAGGAATGGCCACGCTGTAATCCCTTCTCCATTCTCTTGGGATTTTGGGCATGCATGTACATGCGCCCAGTGAGTTTTAAGCCACTGGGTCCGAGACTTGAACCGTGGTCAGCCATGTGGGAGTCCAGTGCCTTAACCACTACACCACCTGCTGGCTCCAAGAAAACTCCACTAATAAAGACATATTTAAATAAAAAATCCCTTTGGGCATAAGAAATGTGATAGAGAAAAAAAAGCAATAACTGAAAAAAAAAAAAAAGCATGTGATACACACACACACAGACAATTCAGAGAAAAATGTGAGAGACATAAAAACACATGAATAGTTATTCTACCTCACTGAAAATGCAAAATTTTTAATTGAAATCAAATTGAAATTCTGAAATCAAATTCTAATTTTGATTTAAATTAGATTTAAATTTAAATTTGATTTAAATTTGATTTAAATTGATTTGATTTAAATACTAATTTTTCCTCCAGAGTGGTTAAGATAGCAAAGTTTGGTAATAGAGCAGGAGGAGGAAATGAAAAAAGGAGTATTTCGCTTTAATATTTGAAAAGAGCTTATATTATTAGTACATATTTTGGGACAAGGAAACACTGAGACTATTTGTCAAAAATACATACTTGGGCCAGCCCGTAGCCTAATAGTTAAGGGAGCTGGCTCCCACATGGCTGACTATGATTCAAATCTCAACTTCAGCAGCTTGAGAAACACACTAGGTGCATGTGCATGCATGCCCTAAATCTTGGTAAGATGGAGAAATGGAGAGGGGATTGTGGCATGATCACACCCCATTTGGGCTGTGCTTTCTCCTTCTATCTTTCTGGAGGGCACATGTATCCTCTAGCATTAAAAAAAAGGTCCACATTCTTTATCCAGAAATTCTTTTAGGAATTATTGCCACAGATACACTTTTCACATATACACAATAAGTATGTTCATCCCTACAAATTCCTTTTTTTAAAAAAAGAATTATTTTATTTAACTTTATTTATTTATTTATTTAATTTGACCAGAGACGGACAGAGTGAGAGAGACAAGGAGAGAGGAAAAGTGAGAAAGCAAGCCGCCAGGTCTGGGACTTGAACCATGTGGTAGTCCAGTGACCTTAACCACCACTGCCACCTGCCAGCCCCCCTACAGATTGCTTTTAACAGTGAAAAATAAGAAACCCAGATGTCTATCAGTAGGGACTGATTTAAAAAAATATGATATATCTAGGGCCAGCAGGTGGTGTAGTGGTTCAAAGGTGCTGGACTCCCACATGCCTGACCATGGTTCGAGTCCCAGACCTGGCAGCTTGATTTCTCACTTTCTCTCTCTCTCTGTCTCTCTTTGGTCAAGTTAAAATAAACAAATAAATAAATAAAGTTAAATAAAAAAATATTCTTAAAAAAAATGATACATCTACATAAAGAAATATTCTGCAACCATTGGAAAAGAGATAGTTTGATATTTGTGGGTATGAAAAATCTCCACCATGTACAAAATGAAAAAAAAAAAAAAGATGAATTACTATATAGGATGCCCACATTTATGATAAGAAAAAAATATTTATATATGCCTATCTATATGTCAGTACATATACAGAGATAGTCAGAGAAGTTACTAAGAAGCTGTTGCTGGACTGAGTGGGAGAAGGGGTCTGATGTAGGAGATTAATTTTTCTGATACACCTTTTCAGTTATCTGAATTTAAAAATAAATTACCATGTCATGTTTTCTTTTTTTTTTTAAAGGAATATTCTTATTTTCTTCTTCTTTATTAATTAATTTTTTCTGATTTGACAGAGATTCTTATTTTCTTCTTCTTTATTAATTAATTATTACTGATTTGAAAGAAAGAGAAAGTGAGAAGCCAGGTCCAGGACTTGAACCGTGGTCGGCCATATGGGAATCCAGTTTCCCAACCACCATGCCACCTGCTGATCCATTATGTCGTTTTCTTTCTTTTATTTTTTTAATAATTATTTTATTTAACTTTATTTTTTATTTTAATTTGACCAGTGAGGGACAGAGCGAGGAGAGGAAATGAGAAAGCAAGCCACTAGGTCCAGGAGTTGAACTGCAGTCAGCCATGTGGGAGTCCAGCACCCTTAACCACCATGCCACCTGTCAGCCCCATGTCATGTTTTCTTTACATAATAAAAAAAAATTAAGGTAGCCATGAATGCTGTATCAGAATTAATCAGCATGAGAGTAAACCAATGGAACATGACTAGGGGGACATGTCTAGCTCAAAGCAAAGGTAGCTGATGTTAGGTAGCCCACTGAGCCTTAGTAGGGACATGATTTTGGAAATAATTGATAGTTTGCAGGTGTCTATATTTTCTTTTTTCTTTCTTTCTTTTTTTTTTTTTTTTTTTTCAGAGTCTTTTGGTATTTGTCGTC